GAAAGAAAGAAAGAAAGAAAGAAAGAAAGAAAGAAAGAAAGAAAGAAAGAAAGAAAGAAAGAAAGAAAGAAAGAAAAGATTTGGCAATGATTAAAAATAGTCCACTTTTATTTGTCTTCGTTTACTCTGATTCAAAAACAGATGGTACACATTAATAAAGAAGAGTTGTTTTCATGTTCTGACAAACTAAGTAGATGATAAAGGTAAAAACTTTTAAACTCACCTAAAAACAGGCATTTTGTACTGCTAATAGATTTTATTTCTTAAAAACAAACAAAAAAATAGCATTGGTGTGGTCAATAATTATGATTGTTTCATTTAAACAAAACAAATAAATGGAACAAAAACAAAAAAATTCAACAGTTTCTACTAAAAGTACTAAATTAATTTGAACCTATTAAGTTGAACCTTTATAAACATGGCCTTTATGGGAAATCTTCAACTACAACTTCAAAAACACTTGTCTTATTAAACTTGTATTATTGCTTTGTTTGTTGCACACTTCCTCTTCTTGCCAACATTGTGTAAGGTGTGTGTGTCTCCTGCACCGCACAACTATTAGGATACACAGAGGTAAATAATGACTTTTTCAAATGTAAACTGTGTGCTGAAGAGCTTTGTGAATAAGTCGCTGCGATTCATTTGAATGCGCTCCTCTGCAGACTTTGCTTCCTCAAAGGAATCCTCCTATAAATATGGTTCTGTGCCAAAGTCTTGTTTCTTTATATTTTGCCTCCAAAGAACTGATAATCTTCTAACGTGTTCTCGAGCGACGATTCCCCAGGCTTTCTGAAAATCACACAAACTATTTATTTGGGTTTTCGCTGCTTCTGTACTTGGGCTTCTAAAATTAAAGCTGAAGTTAATTACTAAATTGCAGATAAGTATGTTTTTTATAGCTACTGTTATGTTAGGTATTTCTTGCTCTTTATAAAACTTTGCAACTTCTCTAAAACCTGGACTTGTCAATAAGTACTAAATTGTACAGTCACCTTCCTATTATTTAATCACGGACATCTGCTGCTTACGTTTTGTTAATGAGACATGACAGTTTTACAGCCAATGAGTATAAACTTTAGGGTTTCTCCAAATAAAATTATAC